CACGAGCAGCTGGATACGAACAGGTGGAATTCATTTACACCCTTTTCCTGAAGATAGAAGAGTTTGTTGAATCTGACGTGGCATGTTCGTACGAACCCTTCGTACGAACAAAAGTAAGAGAAATTTAGGATAAGAATACGAACATGTTCTTGCATGAGGCCCACTGTTTTTGAAGGAATTAAAAAATCTCATTTTATTTTTTTGGGCTAATTGTTAACATTTCTCATATTTTGAAAAGTTTTAGCACCTGTCTCATAAATGAGCTAAGCGTTTATTATACAAACAGCTAAAACAGCACAATAATGTACAGAAAAATAAAACGGTATCAATTTTAAACCAGTGTTCTTCGTCACACATTTTTATTTTTATGACTTTATTTAACTTTGTGTGTTTTCAGAATGATGGAGTCAGGAAACCTCCCGCAGGTGTTCCTGAGCAGCATCAACGTGGTGAAGAACACCTGCAGGTTGGCTCGAATCGTCTCGTGGTACCAAACTGTGGTCCTGTCCTACCAGCTGGTGTTGAAACTGGCAGAAATGATAGAAGTTAAGCTAAGAAGAGAGGTAATAAGCTTTTTCTCCAGCGTCCAAAGTACCCATATTAGCATTAGATTTTAATGTTGTTTCTTGTGTTTTAGTCCAAAGAGGATGAGTTTGAGACATTAAAGCGGGAGCTGATGGAGGAGGTGTTTGCTGTGCAGATGAGGATCAGTGAGTGGAAAGAAGAACTGCTGCAAAAACCTCTGATGGCAGCAAAAATGCTCACCTACCCAAAAGAAATTGAGGTATGCAGCAGAAAGGCTTTAATGAATAAAATGTCCAAAACAAGACAATACTTTTAGCTGCTTTTAGCTGGAGTTCTRCTACTTTTAGCTTGCTTTAGGCAGCCAGCAGCAGGCCTGAGAGTGAAAGGCCTTGAGTCTTATCAGAACCAAAACACAGTCTCAGAAGCAGCGTCTGTCCAAGGCTGCTGTAAGAGAAGACTACATAATGATTAAATGAATCACCTTCTTAAAGTAAAATGTACATCTGACTTCCTGGTAATACCCCTGGAGGCAGTACATTTAACGTCAGACATTAGAACATGACCAACTTTGTTTATATTACAAAGAGGGCCTCATATTGATAAGACACACTGACTCTCTTCCTCTATTTAAACAATATGGCTGCCATGATCACGAAGTGTAAAACACAAGACAAGAGATTCTTAACCCATGGGCTGCGAGCGCCACCTTGAGGGCCTCAAAAGAACAACAGTTTTTAACTTTGAGCCACAGAGGGCCACAAGACCGCATTGATTTTAAATAAGGTGCAATACACTTTCTCACCGCTAGTAGCAGTAGTGCGCCACTCAGATGTTTAACAACTTTTTTAATACGTAGAAGAAGAACCTTCGATACACCCAGAGTGGAGAATTATTTTAAATAAAAAGTAGAAGCAAAAATGAAGGCAACCCATCAAAAAAAAAAAAAAAAAAGCCAAAGTTTGTCACTAATATAAAGAGCAGCCTCTGGTTTTACCATGAAATATTTTTAAAAGTTCAAAACATCATCAAATACATTTGCAGATACAGCTATATTTTAATTTGCACTTTATC